GTGTCACTCGGGAAGGCGGAAAGAAAAGCCTTTTACCTTCTGCCTCAACGGAAGACAGGAGCAGGGCCACGCCCAGGGCGGCCAGCGCTGTGGGAAGCCTGGTCCGCATGCTCGACCTCAGTGTTCACAGCCTCATGAAGACCTGCAGGAGGAAGTAGTAACTGCATCAGAACCGGGTTTGGACAGGTCTGGAACCAGGCTAGAACTGGAGTCTAGACACAATCCAGAAACCTGCCAAATCTGCTTTAATAATCCCAGAGCCCAAACCGGCACATAATGGATCTATTGTGGAGCCATGGAAGTCAAGTTCATCTACATAAATCTAATCATGGCACCAAGAGGGAATTCAAGTTTAAAGAGGGTCCTATTTTCCTGGAGCCCAACCCTGCATAGCATCCCAGGAAGGCCTTACCAGTCCCCATATGACTTCATCCTGGGTGATGGCTAATTCAGAGGTCATTTTATCCCTGACTCAACTAAATGTCTCTTCCAGCTGGGGATTTTATTTGGCTGCTTTTTCCTAGCTGCTGAACTCTTTAGGTAACTGTACTTTAGTGGTCTCAGGGTAATTTGGAAAAGTATAATAAACCTCTTTTTACTCTCTTTTTTCCTCATTTTGTCCTGCCTACAAATACGCAGGTCTTGGAGGTCCAAAATGGATTATACAGAAATATGTGAGACCCAGCTGAAACCTAACCCTCCTGCTAACTGTTGTTTTCACATCTGATAAATGCTTTATCCAAGATGAGGGAAAAACAACTCTAAAATACATAATAAAGAGAGGGCAATGGAAGAGGCAAAATATCTTTGTCTGTTTTCCCAAAACATTTTAATGAAAAATCTGCTAATAATGAATCTGTGCACTTAATTATTCATTTATCCTAGAAAGTTGCAGTTATATGTGCTCCAGAAGTGAATATGTTCTATTCTGAGTTTTCCTTCTTCTGTAACCAGATTATCAGTTCCTTAAAGATAAAGAGTCTTATTCATCTTTGTTTCCCAACACCAACACACAGTAGGGAAACAAGTCAACAGAATGGAATCTCCCAAAATATTCCAAGATCCAATCTAGAGACAAAAGCTACCAGGAATGAACTGAACTAGGACCTAGCTTCCAGTGGCAAAACATAAAAAGAGAGTTGACTATAGGTACACAAATTATAATAAGGCAACAACAAGCTAGGCCTCATGAAAAATGGAGGGGGAAAAAGACTGGTGCTTGAGAATCCAAAAATGAGCCAAAGCTCAAACTCCTCTTGAGAAAAAAAAAAAAAAATCTCCAACCATGTCTTTCCAAATTATTGGCACAAAGCATTAGGACAGCTTTCCTCTGCCTTAGTGTAAATTACATTTTAAATGTCTGATGATCAGGGGTGCCAAATTGCCCAGAGCACCTTTTTATGAAGCCAAGATTAAAATTGTGGCGTTGCTCAAGAGATCCAAGAGCTCTACAATTTCATTCTTCCTAATTAATAACTGATATTTCTAACGCTCTTCTACACCAGTGAAAAGCAAGAGGTGAGACTGGCCCGTTGTTCTTGCCTTAACTTTGCCATAATAATTTCCAACCCAGCTGGCAATCGTACATGTGAAAAGTTAAAAGCTGACAATCGACCCACGAAACACCGTGTGCAGATTTAAGGGGGGAAAAAAAAACTTAACAAAAACCTGAGGCTCAGAAGCATTTTTCTCTGGGTCTACAGCGCCACCTATCGGCTGCCTGATATACATTAAGAATGAATCATCTCGCTTTGGGGTATCTGAACGCAGAATCAGTTCCGCCAGCCAGTCATTCTGTCCATATATGTTGAAAAAAGAGAGAGAGAAAGTTTTCTCTCTTTTTTAGCCAAAACATTTATCTGAATACTTAGCAACACTTCATTGAGCATTCTCAGACATAAGTGTCTGAAAGTGGCCGCCCCTACGTGGCAGTGAGGATTCCCTCACTTCACCCTCATGAATGAAAATGAGTCAGTTTCGGGGTGAGGGGGGGGCTACGGGAACTGGTCCCCTTCGGCCAACTCGCCCTTCCCCCACTCCCTCCCACCCCTCTGGAAGAGCCAATTTCTTAACTCCAGAGTCAAGTTTTTTAAAGAAGATTTTATACACACACACACACACACACACACACACACACACACAAAGCCTCTCCAGATCCCATGCCCGCCTTCTACCGTCCCTGCTACTTACAGAGACCCTAACCTTAGCTAACGACTGGCTTAACGCTCTTGTCCTTTCTAGCCCCATGTCTCCCCAGCATTCTTTAAAAGACTGCCTAGTCTGGGTTTTGGGGGGTACGGATTCCAGAAGCCCAGAACTGGTCACTGGAGGGTCACTGAGGATGCTGGATTTGGGTCTTGTGGTCTTCCAAGTTCCAGGTCCCCTCTCCGTAAATAATCTGGGCGTCCCAGGCTCTCTAATCCACCTCAGAATTTGAGATGGTGAGTGCCTCAGAAGTCCCACCAACCCTGAGTAGGGCCTCAATAATGCACTGGGGAAGGGGATCAAAGAGGGGGTTTTCTCCAGGGACTGGGAAAAATGGGCCAAGAATGAGTCCCCGAGAGCTGGCCTAACCCACTATCTCAGATGCTTCAAAATACCCCGGAGGAAGAAATCACAACACTGCACCAGGAATCTGTCTCGAGATGCCACCCACACCCGTGCAGCCTGGACGAGCTGCAGAGCACTCAGAGGGCTCTCCAAAGAATTCCGCACGGTGCGTCACTAAAATACCTTCGCAGAGCCCCGGCCTCACGCCGGCACTCCCCTGCAAAGATACTGAGGGAGGAACTGCCACAGTACCCAACGCACCCTTCATTGACAGCCTTTATTGATGAAATTCCCCTACAAACGGAAATATTCGACTTGATGCTTTGCGCGCAAACAGTCGCCCTCCATCAGCTTTTAAGAAAAGACTTTTTTTCCCCTTCTCCCTCAAAACCCCAAGTAAGCCACAAAATCCCTATACATCACTGCAAAACTCAAGTGCTTCTCCATTCCTACAAGCCTACAAGGTCCTTGCCCGGTATTCTTCATGGCTCCTATCTAAGTACAGGCTAAAAGCGAGTTTCCCTAGTTATCTTTGGGGCACAAAAAGTAGTTAGAAATCAAACTGACCTGAGGCGGCGGTGATAGAGGTAGCGGCAGCTGCAGCACCTTCCGGACGTCGCAGAAGCCGGAGCCTCGCGGTGACCCCCGCAAGCCTAAGCTAAAGGCTGTGCGATCCGGGAGCACCTGGCGGGAATCGGAACAGCGGCGGGGAGGTCCAGGAGGAGGAGGACCCAGAGAGGATCGCCCGGCGCCGCAAGACAAACGGACACCGCCGCCAGGGGCTGCAGCTGCCGGCGGACAGACGCGTCTGGGGCGGCTCGCCTTCGCGGAGTGGGAAGAGACTCCGCGCCGCGGGCTACTTAATAGAGGGCTGTTCCCACTCTCGGTTTACTCGGTTACGAAACGCCTGAGAAGGTGGAAGCCTGCCACAGGGTGATGTATGCTCCTCCGGCGGTGAAGGAGGTCTACTTTTGGGAACGTGTGCATACTTCGAGCATTCCTTCGGCGTGAGGTGGCGATCGCCGTAGTAGCAGTGCCCCGCCGGGGGCGGGGTGGAGGGAGGGAGAGGAGAGGGGGACAGCCGCAGCCGGGTTCCCTGCCAAGGGAAGCCGCGTACTCCTCCGCTTGGGGCGGGCTGGGGAGTTCGGGTTTCCCTCTCGGTGCGATTTTCTTTAATAAATTTCTTTTTCTAAATTAAGAACAATGGAGAGGGGGGACACGGTTCTTGTTTTCAGAACTGCTAGACGTGTAACCCATTCACCCCCACAACATCCCATCCCCATCCCCCATCACCGTTACCTCCACCTTCCTCCCCCTCCGTCCTGGGTGCACTTAAAACCGATTTACAGGGTTTCCATTAACTAACTGTCTGTGCACGCGGCGGGCCTTCTGTCTTTTTCAATCTCCAAGCGGCGATTGGAAACCCGGACAGCCGCCCGCACCGGGCTCAGGAGAGGGGATGGCTTTCCCAGTCCTGCCCCGCTCCCCTGGTGCTTCGGGATGGAACTGGGAAGTTTAATTTGAGCCAAGAGAGAGGGAGGGAAAGGGAAGCTATGAAACCTAAGGGTCTTCAGAACAGGAAGCCACTCAGGGACAAGTTCAGTCCACCCGCAGAAATTTCTCACTATATTGGGAGCAAAACCTAGCCCCAGGCGGAGGCTTCAGACTCAGCCCTTCTCTTAAAATTCCTTGGGGTCAAAGGGACGAAGAGGAATAAATTGAAAGTGAATTGAGAAAAGACATCTCCCAAACAAAACACACACACACACACACACACACACACACACACACACNCTAGTTCTTCCACTGGTGTTTGAGGACAGTCCTCATGGACTTAATATATAGAAATGGCTTTTTCAGTGAATTTCTTGAAAGTAAGGCATCAAGTGGCAAAAAAAAAAAAAAAAAAAAAAAAAAAAAAACAGGTTGAAAGTCTAACAAAAGTCCTTCGTTTTCCAAAGGGTCACATGTCTGGAGACCCTTTTAGAGTCTCTGACTGTCTCTTACTATAAAAGTCAGCCGCACCCAAGTCTCCTGGGAAGAAGGCAGGAGCAAAGCAGGAGGGAAGGACAATGGAAGTGGCGCCCAGCTTCTTTGGCTCACACTGGTTTCCCCGTGCTGGGAACCTTGGCCCAGATCCAAATTGCTTGAGCTGGGTTGTTCTGGGCCACGTGCCTTGGAGTCCTTCGAAGCAAACAGGGACAGCAGAGCCCCTAGGTCACTGGAACACCCACAGCCACCCGGGGCCCAGGGCCCCACCTCTTTTTGCCGCCCATTCCAGGAGCGGTTTGCCGGCTGACCCCATTGCCCTGCATGGTCCGCCTAGCCAGTGGGCTCCCTACAAAACACAAAGACGCGCAGACCTGGAGCTGTTGGAGTCTTTTATTTCGTTTTGTCACCAAGGACGCATCCCTGACTCAGATGGTTTACCGGCCCAACAAGTGAGTACAACTGCGCTCCGAGGCTCCTGGGTGCCACCCGGAGATGTCCCGTTGGTAGAGCTAGATGCAGCGTCGCCCCCGCCCGGGGTGGGGGGGGGCTGGTCCTCTCGGAAGGCGCCAGTGGAGGTGGCAGTGTGGACAGCACACCACCGCAGAGACAAGAGCAAGGAGACCACACAGCACTGTACGGAATGGCTTAAGCAGAATACAAAAGAGCTGGACCTGAGAGCCGGAAAATGGACAAACCTCAGAAGGGGGCGTTTCTCTGGAGGAGAGAAACCACCCGAGAAAGCACGAAATGCCGGGGAAACAGAGCAAGCAATAGAAAGTGGAAAGATGTGGTTTTTTTACTTTCTCGAATTCTGCAGTGTCACTCGGGAAGGCGGAAAGAAAAGCCTTTTACCTTCTGCCTCAACGGAAGACAGGAGCAGGGCCACGCCCAGGGCGGCCAGCGCTGTGGGAAGCCTGGTCCGCATGCTCGACCTCAGTGTTCACAGCCTCATGAAGACCTGCAGGAGGAAGTAGTAACTGCATCAGAACCGGGTTTGGACAGGTCTGGAACCAGGCTAGAACTGGAGTCTAGACACAATCCAGAAACCTGCCAAATCTGCTTTAATAATCCCAGAGCCCAAACCGGCACATAATGGATCTATTGTGGAGCCATGGAAGTCAAGTTCATCTACATAAATCTAATCATGGCACCAAGAGGGAATTCAAGTTTAAAGAGGGTCCTATTTTCCTGGAGCCCAACCCTGCATAGCATCCCAGGAAGGCCTTACCAGTCCCCATATGACTTCATCCTGGGTGATGGCTAATTCAGAGGTCATTTTATCCCTGACTCAACTAAATGTCTCTTCCAGCTGGGGATTTTATTTGGCTGCTTTTTCCTAGCTGCTGAACTCTTTAGGTAACTGTACTTTAGTGGTCTCAGGGTAATTTGGAAAAGTATAATAAACCTCTTTTTACTCTCTTTTTTCCTCATTTTGTCCTGCCTACAAATACGCAGGTCTTGGAGGTCCAAAATGGATTATACAGAAATATGTGAGACCCAGCTGAAACCTAACCCTCCTGCTAACTGTTGTTTTCACATCTGATAAATGCTTTATCCAAGATGAGGGAAAAACAACTCTAAAATACATAATAAAGAGAGGGCAATGGAAGAGGCAAAATATCTTTGTCTGTTTTCCCAAAACATTTTAATGAAAAATCTGCTAATAATGAATCTGTGCACTTAATTATTCATTTATCCTAGAAAGTTGCAGTTATATGTGCTCCAGAAGTGAATATGTTCTATTCTGAGTTTTCCTTCTTCTGTAACCAGATTATCAGTTCCTTAAAGATAAAGAGTCTTATTCATCTTTGTTTCCCAACACCAACACACAGTAGGGAAACAAGTCAACAGAATGGAATCTCCCAAAATATTCCAAGATCCAATCTAGAGACAAAAGCTACCAGGAATGAACTGAACTAGGACCTAGCTTCCAGTGGCAAAACATAAAAAGAGAGTTGACTATAGGTACACAAATTATAATAAGGCAACAACAAGCTAGGCCTCATGAAAAATGGAGGGGGAAAAAGACTGGTGCTTGAGAATCCAAAAATGAGCCAAAGCTCAAACTCCTCTTGAGAAAAAAAAAAAAAAATCTCCAACCATGTCTTTCCAAATTATTGGCACAAAGCATTAGGACAGCTTTCCTCTGCCTTAGTGTAAATTACATTTTAAATGTCTGATGATCAGGGGTGCCAAATTGCCCAGAGCACCTTTTTATGAAGCCAAGATTAAAATTGTGGCGTTGCTCAAGAGATCCAAGAGCTCTACAATTTCATTCTTCCTAATTAATAACTGATATTTCTAACGCTCTTCTACACCAGTGAAAAGCAAGAGGTGAGACTGGCCCGTTGTTCTTGCCTTAACTTTGCCATAATAATTTCCAACCCAGCTGGCAATCGTACATGTGAAAAGTTAAAAGCTGACAATCGACCCACGAAACACCGTGTGCAGATTTAAGGGGGGAAAAAAAAACTTAACAAAAACCTGAGGCTCAGAAGCATTTTTCTCTGGGTCTACAGCGCCACCTATCGGCTGCCTGATATACATTAAGAATGAATCATCTCGCTTTGGGGTATCTGAACGCAGAATCAGTTCCGCCAGCCAGTCATTCTGTCCATATATGTTGAAAAAAGAGAGAGAGAAAGTTTTCTCTCTTTTTTAGCCAAAACATTTATCTGAATACTTAGCAACACTTCATTGAGCATTCTCAGACATAAGTGTCTGAAAGTGGCCGCCCCTACGTGGCAGTGAGGATTCCCTCACTTCACCCTCATGAATGAAAATGAGTCAGTTTCGGGGTGAGGGGGGGGCTACGGGAACTGGTCCCCTTCGGCCAACTCGCCCTTCCCCCACTCCCTCCCACCCCTCTGGAAGAGCCAATTTCTTAACTCCAGAGTCAAGTTTTTTAAAGAAGATTTTATACACACACACACACACACACACACACACACACACACAAAGCCTCTCCAGATCCCATGCCCGCCTTCTACCGTCCCTGCTACTTACAGAGACCCTAACCTTAGCTAACGACTGGCTTAACGCTCTTGTCCTTTCTAGCCCCATGTCTCCCCAGCATTCTTTAAAAGACTGCCTAGTCTGGGTTTTGGGGGGTACGGATTCCAGAAGCCCAGAACTGGTCACTGGAGGGTCACTGAGGATGCTGGATTTGGGTCTTGTGGTCTTCCAAGTTCCAGGTCCCCTCTCCGTAAATAATCTGGGCGTCCCAGGCTCTCTAATCCACCTCAGAATTTGAGATGGTGAGTGCCTCAGAAGTCCCACCAACCCTGAGTAGGGCCTCAATAATGCACTGGGGAAGGGGATCAAAGAGGGGGTTTTCTCCAGGGACTGGGAAAAATGGGCCAAGAATGAGTCCCCGAGAGCTGGCCTAACCCACTATCTCAGATGCTTCAAAATACCCCGGAGGAAGAAATCACAACACTGCACCAGGAATCTGTCTCGAGATGCCACCCACACCCGTGCAGCCTGGACGAGCTGCAGAGCACTCAGAGGGCTCTCCAAAGAATTCCGCACGGTGCGTCACTAAAATACCTTCGCAGAGCCCCGGCCTCACGCCGGCACTCCCCTGCAAAGATACTGAGGGAGGAACTGCCACAGTACCCAACGCACCCTTCATTGACAGCCTTTATTGATGAAATTCCCCTACAAACGGAAATATTCGACTTGATGCTTTGCGCGCAAACAGTCGCCCTCCATCAGCTTTTAAGAAAAGACTTTTTTTCCCCTTCTCCCTCAAAACCCCAAGTAAGCCACAAAATCCCTATACATCACTGCAAAACTCAAGTGCTTCTCCATTCCTACAAGCCTACAAGGTCCTTGCCCGGTATTCTTCATGGCTCCTATCTAAGTACAGGCTAAAAGCGAGTTTCCCTAGTTATCTTTGGGGCACAAAAAGTAGTTAGAAATCAAACTGACCTGAGGCGGCGGTGATAGAGGTAGCGGCAGCTGCAGCACCTTCCGGACGTCGCAGAAGCCGGAGCCTCGCGGTGACCCCCGCAAGCCTAAGCTAAAGGCTGTGCGATCCGGGAGCACCTGGCGGGAATCGGAACAGCGGCGGGGAGGTCCAGGAGGAGGAGGACCCAGAGAGGATCGCCCGGCGCCGCAAGACAAACGGACACCGCCGCCAGGGGCTGCAGCTGCCGGCGGACAGACGCGTCTGGGGCGGCTCGCCTTCGCGGAGTGGGAAGAGACTCCGCGCCGCGGGCTACTTAATAGAGGGCTGTTCCCACTCTCGGTTTACTCGGTTACGAAACGCCTGAGAAGGTGGAAGCCTGCCACAGGGTGATGTATGCTCCTCCGGCGGTGAAGGAGGTCTACTTTTGGGAACGTGTGCATACTTCGAGCATTCCTTCGGCGTGAGGTGGCGATCGCCGTAGTAGCAGTGCCCCGCCGGGGGCGGGGTGGAGGGAGGGAGAGGAGAGGGGGACAGCCGCAGCCGGGTTCCCTGCCAAGGGAAGCCGCGTACTCCTCCGCTTGGGGCGGGCTGGGGAGTTCGGGTTTCCCTCTCGGTGCGATTTTCTTTAATAAATTTCTTTTTCTAAATTAAGAACAATGGAGAGGGGGGACACGGTTCTTGTTTTCAGAACTGCTAGACGTGTAACCCATTCACCCCCACAACATCCCATCCCCATCCCCCATCACCGTTACCTCCACCTTCCTCCCCCTCCGTCCTGGGTGCACTTAAAACCGATTTACAGGGTTTCCATTAACTAACTGTCTGTGCACGCGGCGGGCCTTCTGTCTTTTTCAATCTCCAAGCGGCGATTGGAAACCCGGACAGCCGCCCGCACCGGGCTCAGGAGAGGGGATGGCTTTCCCAGTCCTGCCCCGCTCCCCTGGTGCTTCGGGATGGAACTGGGAAGTTTAATTTGAGCCAAGAGAGAGGGAGGGAAAGGGAAGCTATGAAACCTAAGGGTCTTCAGAACAGGAAGCCACTCAGGGACAAGTTCAGTCCACCCGCAGAAATTTCTCACTATATTGGGAGCAAAACCTAGCCCCAGGCGGAGGCTTCAGACTCAGCCCTTCTCTTAAAATTCCTTGGGGTCAAAGGGACGAAGAGGAATAAATTGAAAGTGAATTGAGAAAAGACATCTCCCAAACAAAACACACACACACACACACACACACACACACACACACACACACCAAAGAGGAGCCTGGTATTCTGCCAGCATTATTGCCCCTTTTTACAGCTCCCCCACTTCCAGCACCCCCACCCCTTGGCCCTGAAGGTGTCTGGTACTCTACGTTGCCAAATCGTACAAGGCGCATGGGAAAGTGCTTCCAGCAGTCACATCATGGTATCAGAAAAGCGATACAAGAGAGGTTCTAATTACACAGGTCTACGCGCTCAGCACAAGCCCTGAGCTTTTTGTCCTCTTTGAAGCCAGGGTTTACCCCTGCCGGGTTGACTACCTGGTATCTGGGCGGAGAGCCAACCAGGAGTAGCGTCCTTGGAACTGACTGCCAGGAGGTCAGGTCTCCTTTATAAGCTTCTCTTTCCTGTTTGGGCTGACCTCTGAAGATCTGACCTTCCTTCTAGTAGGTGTGATAGCCTCCAAACTTGCCTTGAGAATGTCAAAAACGTGCAGAGCCCACCCTAACTGACTCACCTCGCCCCACGCACAGGCTGCTCCAGGCAAGAGCCAGCGGAAGCAAAAGAGAAGCCTGAAAAAAAAAAATCTAGAAAAATGGGAATCGCCACCTCTGCACATTCTCAGAGCACACACGGCCCACTCGAAGTCCAGCTGGGCAGCTCACACAAAGAGCCCACACAGTGCACAGGCTTTTCTCCCTTCAAATCCTCACAATTCTAGTGTCTGACAAAGCTCCAGAGCCTGAGAGCCTCCCCAGGATGTAAAAATCTAACATGCCCAACCCAATTGGTGGGCCACACAGCCCAGACAGGTTTGCAGCAACTTTGCCTCAGTGCTAGTGAGCATCTGTCTCCACCCCGGGCCTGCCCTAAACCCGCACTCCCACTCCACATGCACAACAACGAAGCCCAGTCCCACCTGGCTCACAGACGCTTGTGGGAACAGAACCCGGGAGCAGGGAAGTCCTAGGGATCATGCTGGGTGTCCAGTCCTCRGGATGAACGCCCTGGAGGACCCTGCGGCCTAGAACAGCCAGAGAAGCCCCCAGAGAAGCCCCCGGGACAACAGAGGAGTTAGTTGTTCCAATATTTAAAAACAAACAACAACAACAACAACAAAAAAAAACAGCGGGCGAAGGAGGGGGCGGGGGGGGGGGGGCTGCCTTGCAAACCATGCAAGATTGTCTGGGGTTTGCGTTTCGCCCAGATGTTTTCTCTCTGTGTTTACTTTTTTAAAAATATTTTTTAAAATTGTGATGGCGGTGTTTCTGACTGAGGAGCACGAAACTCTGGGTGTTTCTATTCTTCATTTAATCCGTGGATCGCCCAGGAGTTGCGCAGTCACTCCTTAGGGAGCCAAGGCCGGTAGCAAGCTTCTGTAAGACTGGAGACCGCACACTGGGTGAAAAAGGCGTCTGCCCCCGAAGGCGCTCACATTGGGAACTGGCGTGCAAGCTTCTCTAGTTCTAGGCATTCTCGCTCACAAACTTAGATATAATGCATTTGAGAATGATTACTGCGAAGGAGTGCAGTAACACAGACCAACAACTGCAAACGCGCTTTCTCCTCTGAAAGCAAGGGGAATCCTATGCAAAACTTCTAAGATTGCTGAAAAGGAGAAATGGAAAGAGGATACACCTGGGACTGGGAGTACACTGACTCTCAAATCCACAAACTAATCCAAGCGCTCTTATTCCCAGGGGACAGAAATGCAAAACAAAGAGATTCAAGGGGGCACCTCAGGGTATTTGAGACCTGTCGACCGCGTTGCTTGGTTTCCTGAAGGCTTTACTTTAGCGTCTAGTGGGATAAGTGACAAAGGCGGGTAAAAAAGAAAGAAAGAAAAAGAAATGCCAACTCTCTTCCATCTTCAGTCTTTCAGTGAAGCGACCAGTTCTTAATAGCCCTTGATTCCCGTTAAGGCTGGCAATAAATTCATGGTGTTTATTGACTGTGGCATATCTGGTTACATTAATACAGTTTGTTTGCTTCTCGTGGCTTTTATTCCTCTGACAATACCCCCAGGAACTCCTTCTCTTCACATTCCGTTTTCTCTGCTCCCACCTCTTCTCCCTCCGAGTCCTGGGTTCCCAGTGGTTCCAGACCCTCCGATTTCTTGTCCCATAGCGCAATCTAGCGGTCATGACGAAGTCTAGCATCGGAGGTCAAAGTTATATAGAAGACATCTGGCAAATTGTTGACAGTTTTAAAAGTCTTGAGGTAGTTTTTTAAAAATATATCATACATTGATCTGGTTTTCAAGACTGAAAGGCCACTAGATGAGAGAAAGAGGAAAAAGGAAAGCATAAACTTTCTTTGTGCGGGTTAATTGGCTGCCTAAAGAAATTCTTGCGCAAAGGCTGTTTTCTTTGAAGAAGAGGTGGGAAAGGGGGAAGATCTGATTCAGAAAGCAATTATTATTAAGCGTTGTCCTTAACTTCTAAGAAGGTGAAATGTGCTTTGAGTCAACTTAGCCAGTCCTCCCGGCAACAAGTGACAGTTTCTAGGTATTTCCATTGCAATTTCTGGCTGATTTACCTCATGGGCAGGGAAGAAGAAACTTGGGCTGAAAGAGTATGTATTTTCCAGCTTCTATGGCTATGAATGCCCCGCCTCCCAGAACACTCTGAGAGTCTTGGGTGAAGAAAACACACACACACACACACACACACACACACACACACACACAGGAGGTAAAGGTGTGAAGGTTGGAGGTGATGTTCTACCTGCTCTGGTTCTCAGGCCCGGAGAGGCAATCTAACCAGCATGACCAAAAAACCAAAGGTTTGGATGCTCTTTTAGTTCTCTGTGGGAATCTCAAGTATCATGATTTAATGAGCATCACCTATGTACTACATCAGGGCTCAGAGCAGCTGATATAAAGACAATTATGACAAGGAATTGCCTCAAAACTGTCAAGTAATACCTGGGAAGGAAGCCTGAGACAACTTCCCATGGCCAATTTAAATTTCTTAAGACAATGACACAGCCTCATCGATGTTTATAGCAGCTCAATTTACAATAGCTAAGCTATGGAACAAAACTAGGTGCCCTACAACGGACAAGTGAATAAAGAAATTGTGGTATATATGGAAAAAATAAATAAATAAATTTCTTAAGAGTGTGCCTCAAAGTGTTTTAACATTAGAAGTAAGAAGCAGTCAACAATTACCCTCTCTGCACTAGAAAAGCTTAGGAATGCCAAGACCAAACCTTCCCTGCATCCCCTGCACTCCTTCTGTCTTAAGCACTTTCTCCATGAAGCTCACAGACCTTCTTCTTTGTACTGAAATACAATCTCTTCCACCAGAATGTGAACAACTTCAGAGCRAAAACCCAAAGCTGCATCATATTTATCTTACTATACCAGTTGGCTAGCTCAAACCTAGAGAAGACAATCATGTTTCAAAACATGCTTCATCCACATACAATATATTCTTAGGATGAACCATTTGGATTCATTAAAAGTCAAGTCCTGCAGGAGTTGATTTTTTAGTTAGCTCTGACCTCTTTGAGCAAAATGTGCAAGGTAGAAAGAAATAAATCCACTTAAGAGTTAATAAAGAACCCTCTACCTCTTCTTCCTCTGTTTCCTTAATAGTCAATACTGCTTAAGTCACCCTTGTCTTCACAGGAGACTTAGATTCCATTTGTTTTGTAACTACTGAGTTACAAAACRATTTCTAGACAGGCCACTACTCTAAGTGTCAGCTATTGATACGTGTAGGCTGACATACACTTTTAGGTTTCTGGAAAATGTGAAAAAACACAGGAACCTATTTTTTGATCTTGAAAACTATACCTAGTAGAATGAACTACAGTAATGATGAGGTTTCATTGCTCTCAGTTGGAGCCTCTGTGTAGGGTGAGATATAATCAGACAAAAGCTGAATTTTTAATGCATTTTTATACATTTACTAATTCATTCAGCTACATTTATGGAACACTGACAGCCAAGTGTTCACGGCAGACAAGATCCCAGACTTTGGAATGCTTCTAAATCTAATGTGGAATGCGCCCTCTGGTGGAGAAGAGGAAAAGATGACTATTACCTGAGTAGGCTCAGTT